CTTCTACCACCCATGGGGGGCGCTGAGTATTCCTAAAGGAAGAATTCAGTAACCTTTTTTATCGTGAACCGTGTCTTTAACTAAGGATTGTGGCTTGCGGTACACTGCGTGTTATAGATACCAACTTTCATAACACTTGCTAAGAAGTATAATACATTACAAGATTGAGAGTTACTTTAGCTATTTGGGCTCTCTTCTATACTAACACATTTGGATGGGAAACGGACCAAATTTGCCTTTTGGATGTGAAGTCCGTTATCTTATTAGAGAGATGTTTCAGGTACTTTCTGAATGTAATTCGAGAGCACAAGGACCGGCTGCTGATGGATGGCGAACCCCGTGATTTTATGGAGGCCTTCTTGAGAGAAATGGCACTCCAGCGCGATAATCCTCATTTCAAGTAGGATATTTATCGTCCTATTACCTATGTAGCTAGTTTTACTTTAATGAAATACCTTGACATGAAATGGCCTGCAGAATTAGTTCTAACTTAAGCTAAAAGGAATACGAGCAGTGGCCTGCTTATCATAAAGGATGATCATTCAGCGAATTCACCTTGGCTTTGGCATCCGGTGACCTTTGGACTGGTGGAATGGAAACCACCGTGACTACACTACGATGGGGCTTCGCTTACCTTTTGTATCATCCAAGTGTTCAGAAAAAATGTTATAACGAAATCTACCAGGTTCGTCAATTTATCTAAACAGATTAGCGACGGCCTTCCACAGCTAGTAATGGCTCTATGTATATAAGCACAACGGTGCACCTCTCAGCGCCCCCTTTGAGGGCTATCCGGCACGTTCACCGGTATGCGTCTGACAGCATACACCGTCTCAGACGGTTTTGAACCCCTAAGGTGACCCTCACAAGCCTTTTCTTGAGAAGGTTTGAGCATAACGCTAAGCACACACTGAGTTTTCCTGTACCGATACGCCAAATGAAATTCAGAAGCATCCACGAACTATAACCATCTTATTAGATATGTGGTTCAACAGGTGTTCGGAGACGAGCAGCCATGTTATGCTCGACGAAAGCAACTACCTTACGTCGAAGCGACCAT